GACAAAGAAACTTGCTTTTGGAAACAAGTACTATAAAGTGATGAAACAAAAATTGAGCTTTTTGAACATAATGGTGTACAAAAGATTTGTTGCAAGAAACGTGAGGCTTTGCTCCCAAAGAACACGGTGGCAATATTAAAATATGGAGGTGGCTCCATGATGTTGTTTTAGCTCAAGGGGGACTGAACAATTAATTGCAATAAGAAGAATAATGAAATCTGTAGGCTATATCAAAATTCTGGATGAAAATCTGCAACTATTCGTGCAAAATCTTCATCTAGGTTGGCAATTTACTTTCCAGTAAGATAATGATCCCAAACATATGTCTAAATCAGTGACTACATGGCTTCAGAAAAAAATTACAGTTCTGCCATGGCCTTGAATGAGTCCCGACTTGAATCCTAGTGAAAATCTATGGCAAGAATTGAAAGTTTGAATAAATCGTCAATCACCAAAAAACATTCAGGATTTAAAACATGTAACCATTGAGGAATGGAAGAAAATCCCAGAAAAGACTTGTTGAAATCTCATCAAAAACTTTAGAAAACGACTGCAGCAAATTATGAAGATGAGAGGCCATGCTATTGACTATTGTGAAAATTGTTCAATTTTTTTCTATTTTTCATACTGTACAAATAATTTTGTCTTTTTCTATTTGAATAATTCTCTTGTCAAATTTGTTGTATTTAACCTATTGTTCTGAAAATTGAGTTTTATATTCCTTATTAGCATATAAAAAAAACCTGGCATCATACAGACATTAGATTGCTGGAAAATTGATGGATGTATGAATAATTTTGTCATTGACCATATATATATATATATATATTAAACAAAATAAACATAATACCCTATGCTGATTGCACAACTTGGAGTTTCATGCCATTTGTAATATTCCAGTGCAATTTATTTATATATATATATATATATATATCATAAAAAATATAGTTTTAAGATATGTTATATTTATGGGTAAAATTGCTCAATATCAAGAGTATATATATATATATATATATATATATATATATGAAAGTAGACACTGAGGTCAACATCCAGCAGTGACAGTCAGTTTCATACTTAAACACAATCTTCAGACTTGAAGATTGTTTTTAAGTATAAAATAGACTGTTGCCATTGGTTGTTGACCCCAATGTCCTCTTTATATACGTATATCTGTTACTCTAAACATTATTATTTTATACCCATATTCAAGTAGATGCCCTTGTTTTTTTGTTGTTGTTGTTGTTGTTTAAACGGTGTGAATTATGTCTACCAGCCTGTTCATTTGTGAAACTTAATAAAGAAAATGTGCTCTCCAGCAAGGTTTGAACCTGCACACCCTTTGATCCAGCAAGCTTTAGACCAGTACTCAAATATTGTTTTGTGTAGCAGGAAATACATAAAGGTGCTACCAAAATCTTCTTGAATGGTGACCATTAAAAAAATATAAGAATAACATTTTTAAAAGTGACATTTTATACAAGTAATACAGTGAATCTCATGAAAACGAACATCAAAAGTTTTTACTAAATTTGGTTTATATATTAAAAAATTCTTTTAGTACCTTAAGGCATATTGCTTTAAAGCATGGTACCCATAAAAAAAAAAAAAATAATCACAGGATTTTTTCTATTTATCTCAGATCAGGTTATCTATACACTTTGTCTATGATGAAAATGTTACACCCCAGCTCTCTGCCAAGGATCAAAGTGTAGTCTCTGTGTGACATATGAAAAATGTTATGCACAAATGGATACACATTATGTTATATATATGCAGATATAGTCATTTATTTAGAGAATGCATGACCATATTACTATATATTTATGACGTCACACCTTTTTACACAGACAATCTGCCAAAGTTCTATTTTTCTTCTCAAGAGTGTCAGTTGCCAATGTTCTGCTTCACAAGTGCCACTTCCCATTGCTTTGGGCAGCAAACGTCTAAGCAAGTGCGTGCGCGTGTACGTGCCATCTTTTCTATTCTTAAATGCTGTTGACTCTTCGGTTTCTATTTTTATCTCTTCAAGTATTGTTCTTCAAACGCTTATTAACATCAATGTCTGAGAAATATGCTATGGCTCATAGAGTAAAAATGCTGGGCCTTTTTGTCCAGAGCTTAAGTACACATAAAAAAGACATTTTGTCAAAGGTGAAAAAAAAACAAAAACAAAACATTAATTAGTCATTAATTAGGACAACCTTATAACCTTGTGTTTGGAGAAAGGTAATTTTATTTTTAATTTTATTAAGCATGTTTTGAGTACATTTAAGCATTTACAAGAACAGGTATGTGAGAAGAAGATTAAACCCTGCTTTACAATGGAGCTTCACAGTCTTACAATTGTTAAATTTCAAATACAAATAGGTAATTCAATATTATTCAACACTAAATAGATTCATTTCAACATAATAACCAGCAACAACCTACTAAGCCTTTGTCAACAAACTCACAAATACATTAGTCTGACTGTCATAAAGTAAGTCTGTCCACACATTTCACATTGCACTAAGAACATTGCACTCAAGGACACATGGCACAGTGGATAACGGCGTTAGTTAGATCCAGTGACAGGACTCAAAGAGTGTGAGTTCAATATGTGGTTAAGGTGGTGGAGAACTTTCAGAGGGGAATTAACAGGAGATAACTAATAACTGACATCCATTAAACGTGGCACATAGAACTAGAACAGTCTACACCAGTGAGCGAAATAAAGGGCTCAGTTCAACATTCCAACCACCTGAAGAAGGCCGAAGCATACAATGGCTGAAACATTGTAATAAATATGGCAACAAAGATGAGGACAATAGTCCAAATAATGTAAATAGTGTGCACTAAGAACACTTAATTATTTTATTAAACAAACTTCACTGAAGGAAAATTGAACATTTTATTGTCTTATTTTTTTTTTCCAGAAATATACAATATGTTATTATAACTGACATTCTGCTTCTAGTTTTTGTCCAGAAAATAACCTTTTAGATTTTTCATTTACAAGCTGTTATTGTTGTTAAACACTTGGAATCCTGACTCTCAAAGAGTAACTAAAACTTAGATAGACGAATCACAACACCATTTTCTGGGTCCAATAATTTATTCATATCAAATTTAAATGATATACATGAAAGGATTTTGCTGCAAGTTCTCAGGATCTTTTATTCATTTTTTCTTAGGCTCAAGCCATTTTTCTTGTTTCTAAGGAGAATTTGAATTTGAATTAACCAATCTTTTTTAAGCCCTTTCAGTTTTCATAAGCCATTATCAAATAATTTTTAATGGGTTAATAGGATTGTATTTGTAAGTAAATATAATGTTTCTTTGGTGGTGTTTGTTTGTCATGTCTTAAGGTTTTGTGGGTGTCACCAAATAAATAATATAAATAACTAGACACATAAACCTATCAATTCAATCACAACTACAGTTGAAAAAATTTATCTAAACTTAATATAAAAAAGTATTTCTAAAAAATAAAAGACTTAATACAAAACAAGCTAAGACCTGTTAACAACCTAAGGCCTTAAGCTGGAATTTACACTATAAACTGTAATAAATATCACAAAAAATATACAGGTAAGACTTTTAGGAATTTAAATCAAAGAATATATGAACACAAAAGGCATCTTTTATAAAACAACACACTCAATGCATAATTGTACATCGTAATGAATCTGACCACAAATTTAACTTATTCTGAGTTTGCTGAAATTTCTAACAGTCATTAAAATTATACCTTTTAAGCATGAAGTAAGGCTGAAATTTAATTTTACTAAGCATGACCAAACTCAATTAAAATTTCCTGCTGCCAAAAAGGAAACACACAGGGTATTGCTCATATAAATATACCCTGAGAATTTTAACAACATTGGTTGGTTAATACCGATTATAGTATTTACATTTGGATTATTGTCTTCACATTCAGCATGAGGACAATAGTCCACATATAAATAATGATAACTCCTCATCCCAGACATTCAGACAGAAATTATCAATTTTATTGTGAAAACAAATGATAAAATTTGACAGCATAATTGCGATTACAACTAATGTGGTTATATGGTAATTGTAATATTAGGTGTTTCCCTATAAGGAAACATTTAGCATTTATCAACCAGACAGTACTGCTTTCAGGTGAAATTTATAAAATTTTTCTCTTCAAACAATTTTTCAGGAAAATAGGTTTCCAAATTCAGTACGTATTTTTTCCAGTCATATACTCTGAATGAGGTTCCTTGTTTTCGAGATTTCTTGGAACTCAAGTTCAGCCCAGTCCTCAAGTGGAACTCATATATCTGATCCATCACTGAACATACTGGAAAAAAAAATAGTCAGTTCCTTGTACTACTTCAGAAACTATCTGACCCCCTTTTGCAATGATTTATCTTTAGAAGATAAAACCAAAAATGGTGTATTGTTGCCATTTTCGGGCTGGAGCTATCTAATCCTCACTTTCCAGCCTTGACAGACTTCAAGGTCACTTATGTAACTTTGTGGGAAGAAGGGCTTATTTTTCACCCTGCAACCCATCTCCAACAGATGCAACATTGCAAGCCTGGTTCTATTTCCATGGCAAATGATCAGATGAGCTTCATTTTTAGTGCTACTTGTTTCAGATCTTTTATAGTTAAGACTTGCCATGCTACATCCACAGGGCTGTATCAACCTCATTTGCTCCATATTTCATTATTAAGAAGAAAGTTCAACTCAATTTTTCCTCCAAGAATTAATAATTTTGTGCAACAGATGTCCACGTGGATGCTTTCTTAAATATTACAATCTTAATCTCTTCAAGTCTAAGGACAATCATTATCTATTATCCATATCTTCATAATCTTTGCCTCCTTTTAAGTTCATATCACACCCCTTATTCAGTAACCCTCTACTATGAGTGGCTCTTGAGCCTTGTAATGAGGGGAAAAAATTTTTAAAAAACATTCTCAAAAGTAAATTCAGTTTTACTTGAAGAATCTTTTTGATAAAATTACAAGAAAAATACTTAC